TAAAATAAACTGTGTGTGGCAGGGCTCATCTGAAACACCAGTATTGGGGTGAGGGGGTGGTCAGTCAAACACAATGGCTCCCTAGAGCTCATTGACCAAGCAGCCTAGCCAAAACAGTAAGTTGCTTCTTCTTCCTTGCAGAACTTCGCCTTAAAACATAGGTGGAGAGCCATAGAGAAAGATGCCTAAAGTGAACCCTTGACCTTGTTGATTCTGGCCTTCACATTCATGTGAATCCATGGGCTCATACCTATTTGAACATGTCCATGCACCACACACAGACACATGCATGTGCCCATACCTATCTGAACATATACATGCACCACACACAGACACATGCATGTGCATATACCTATCTGAGCATGTGCATGCACCAAATACAGACACATGCATGTGCATATACCTTTCTGTAACATGTACATATGCCGCACACAGACACATGCATACTAAAAAAGGAAGTAACAAAAATAATCTTTACAACACAATCATAAAAGTCCAAATGAACCACAGGGGATTATGTGCCTCTGTTCAAAAGTAGACAGCACTGGAGAGTGCATGCCACACAGCAAACCGCCACTCTGTCCCTTTGTCTGTGCTACGCATGGACCTCCAGGCCCCATTTTTGCAGAAATGAGACTCATTAGCTATGCGTACGCCTGCTACATGCACAGGAAGTAACGGGAGCTTCCTGGTATTATTCTGGAACAAGAATCAGGCAGCGTCTCTCCAGATTGGGCCCGCTGGGCCATCAGTTGCTCTCTTAGGGACTAAGTGATTTCTAGCATGGCACAAGTCCAAAGCTAATCCATTAAGGTGAAAGAAATCTATAAACACCTGCATGGAATTGATGAGTGAGTCGGGGTGTCTGCAACTGACTTCTTGTTTACTCCTCTGTTCAAAACGACCCACTAAAGCCAGGAGTCAGCTACAGCAACTCACTAGCATGGGGTCAATTTTTGGAAAACTTTTATTTGCACAAAGTGAACTGTGTTTGGAATCCTCAGTTCCACCCTCCATTAAAGTCAAGTATCCCCTTGTCCTTGGTTCACTGCATTAAGAATTGCGGGTAATTAGATGATGTTATTTGTTTTGCACAGGAGACAATTAAGTAAAGAAAGACTAGTTTTCAGGAGTGTTTCCATGATGATAACCATGCCCCCCCCATTCATTAATCGCCATGTAATTGCAGATTTGGTTCTGAACACTTTTTAGCAGCATGCGTGCATGTGTGTGTGCAAGCGCACACGTATGGATGTAGGTGTTGGACATGAATTTGGGAATTAAGTATAATGCAAGGACCAAGGTTATCAAGCATCCGATGACTGTGTCTGCATCAGGTGAGTGGCACACAAAGTAGGACTAGACTTCAAAAGAGGCTCTGGTCTCACCACTGTGTTCTGTTCAATGAACCGCAACCAAACCAGACAGTCCTCTTGAAACCAGAAACCAGAGAGTGTGCCTACAAGGTACCCTCTGCAAAGACGCAGGCGGATACTACCACGTTACCTAATTGTGATGCATAAAACAGGGTCTGCTAGTCTTCTTGTTTCTTTGAGCCCATCTGTAAGAGTCTGTCTTGTGAACATGAAGTATCCTCAGCCTGCCTTTCCTACAGTGTAGGAGACAGCATGTCGGTGACAACCAAGGGGCAGCATTCAATTACACTCACCCACACATTAAGAAAGTTCTCTATTTTTCTCTTCTTCTCAGGCCTGCTGACTTCAAGGAGAACGTCTCTGGGATCTGATGATGACATGGCTAACACCCCTCTGACACATACTGATCTCTAGTTCCGACAGACAGAGGGCTGGCCTCATCTCGCTGTTTGTGTTTGTCTCCCATCGTGTTTACGTTTAGATTATTGCCAGAGTGTCTGGTTTTCTAAGGCAAAGAAGACAGATAGAGCCCAGGTCAGGTCTCCTGCAAATGTGGAAATTTGGGTTCCACTCGTGCTGGCATGGATTTGGGGATAGATTGGAGCAAGGCCATTTGGTGGGGTTACTTATAGAGGTCTTCTGCCTTGTCTGGTCCTCACCATTCTCTCTACTAAGTACTAAAATGAATCAAAGGCATTGTTAAGGTGGATGAACTGAGAAGTAGGTACTTGGATTTGGGGTCAGATAAACTGGAAGCTCTTTCTCCAAGTCGTTAGTAGCCATACCCAGAGCTACTTGTCCGTCCTGTCTCTCACCATAGCCCTGCCACAGTCAGTATGAGAACACACACACAGCACACAACGTCCCTCAAAAGCCAGGAACATAAAAACAAGAATCAAAATGTGTGTGCTGTACCTGAGAAGGACAGTGAGGGGAGGGGAATGACAGAACATTAGCCACTAAAATTAGTATCTGGCAGCATTGATCCATAAGTAAAAATCAGAAAGAGAAACTGTCTTGATAAATAAAAAGTGGAGCATGGTCAAGGAAGACTCCTGGCATTGATTTCTAGTGCTACACACACATGCACACACAGATAGAGTAAATTGTAAATACTAACAAGTGACTTCAAGTTATACGTGTATTTTCCAGGCAAGGAACAAGAGTGGATGGCGTCTATTATGGCATTGTTGATAAAGAAAGGAGGTGTGAGAGAATCTATACATACGCTGCCTGGGGAAGGAACACAAAGTCAGCCTAGAGCCAGCCCTGGGAGAAAAATAAGGACTACAGTCAGAACCCGAGGAACATGGTTGTTGTTGTCACTATTTAGCCTTAATTTCTGAGAAAAAAAACAACATGCATGTACTCAAAAAAATGCATTAGAGGGAAAAAAATTAAATAAGACTATCAGAGATTATGTTCAATTAGATGATGTATAATTTAATTCTATAAAACCTACAGAAGAAGTTGGGATTCTGGGTTCCACTATAAACTTAGGAATAAAATTAAAGTATTATTAATGCTAATGTTTAAAGTATATCTAGACCTACCCAAAGAACATGTCAAAAATGATATCAAGTTACTACTTAGCCAAAGATGGAATTGTTTACATAGAAAAGAAGGGAGAAGCAAATGGAAAATTACCAGAACTTAATTTTTATTTCTTTAGATCATTTTATTAGAAGTACAGCTGTGGGGACAAATGAAAGATTTACATATGGAAACCATTAACTTCTTGCTAATCATAGCTAATCTAAAAGTGAAACTTGAAAAAATATTAAAAATTTACCACCAAAACCCAGATTGAGAAAGACAAGCGTGGCATGTTGTCTCTCATACACAAATGCTATGATGCCATGGGGGAATTTCAAGAGCAATGGGATCATCACAGGTGGTATGAAGGGGGCTTAGGGTACAGTGTAGCACAAAGGACTTGATGGGGTGGGGGATGGAAAGACAGGACACAGGACAGAGTGCGTGGAGAGATAACACTAAAGACCTTTGAAAATGCCACGTGGAAGCCTGTTACGGTAAAATTTTCTTAAAACACACACATATACACATGCATGTGCATGCATATGTGTGTGTATGCATGTGGAGTTTAAATGGAATTACCCTTTAACAGGGAGCAATCCTTCTCCTAGACACCATAGGCTAGCAAATAAAAAGTCCAGTATCAGGTAGGCTTTTTGAGATGTTGGTCAATGGGATATCATAGACCCCCCCCCAAACATTATGGAATATTGCCATTGCTCTTGGTTATCCTCCATAACTTGAAAGCCAACCCTCATTGCTAAAGATGTCTCTTAATGGAGTCATAGGACAGAAAAATCAAGCTGGTACCCACCTGGAAGCTTTATCCCTACTGGATAACTTTTATAGTGATGAAGATGCTATGGACACTACTGAAAGAGGAAAATTATCATCAGTTTTATCCATCTCCAAGCTACAGCAGTGAATAGCCTGGCAAGATACGTTCAACGGCGCAATAGTGGCACAAATGTTATGGAAGTAACCAGCGACATTCTGATTGGATTTAAAGTCCACTCCGTAAGATGGAATTCATGCCAGTACTGTTAACTGAGACAAAAACCCATGACTCACTGGGACATAGGTCCTATAGGAGAACCTACTACTGCTATTCTACTAAATGAACATAGCAATAAACTCTCCCCTAAGTTCTTATCTGCGTAGATTAATGTATCTCTCAACTGTCATTGGGGAAACTTCTTTTTTGCAATAGATGACGATTAATACAGAGACCCAATACTGGTCAATCTTCAGATAATAAAATACTATGGGGTACTGATCTCTAAATGGAATATCTATATCATTCACTCACACACACACACACACACACACACACACACACATGCGCATGCCTCAGAGGTCACCATTGAAAAAGATGTGGAAAGATTGTAAGAGCCAAAGGTAGTGAATGACTGCTGTGAAACTGTATTTCCAGACACGACAGAGTGATGGCACATATTAATTCCCAGTGGCTGTGACCGTATGCCTAAGACCTGCTCAAGAACACTACGGCATGGATAGGGGACTTCAGAATTTTTTTTACTTTTGTTTTTCGAGACAGTTTTCTCTGTAGTTTTGGAGCCTGTCCCAGAATTTTTTAAAGATTAGAATAAAGGGGGAGATACACCATAGTACAAAGTTGACAATTTTCCCATAAATTAGCATCTACATTTGAGGAAATTCCTATCAAGTTGACAATAGATTTCATTGTTTTTATATGACAATCTTGTTCTGATTGTGATTAATAACTAATCAATTATTATTAAGTAATAATATATAAAAATAATGTTATTGATAATAATTAATTCTGATTAATAAGAAAAATATTTCATCATAAACAATAACATTATGGTATAAATTAAGAAACTAAGGCTAGGGAGGCACTCATTGGTTAAGATTCTTGTCATGCCATTGTGAGGAGGCCTGTGTGGATGCCCGGGGATGGTGTTGCAGCTCACCTATAATTCCAGTCTCCAAAGGTGGAGGTAGGGGAAACAGGCTAGAGACTAGCCATATAAGGGGGCACTGGGTTTGATTTAGAAATCTTGCCTCATTGAACGAAGTGAAAGGGTCAACTTCTGATCTACACACACTCAAACACACACAACACACACATACATGTGCAAAGAAGAAAAGGGAAAATAGAAGCAAAATCATTGTCTTTTCACCTATAAACACCCAAAAGATGATGGGAGGGGAGAAAAATGCAAACTCACAGATACAATTGGCAGGGGATTAATGGGTCCCAGTCTTTCCAAAGCAGTTTAGTCATGATGTTGGATTGTGTATTCTATCCAATTCCACACCCATGAGTTCAACTTTTGTTATATGCTTCTGAGGTACACACAAGCATGCACCCAAAGAGGCTGATCTAACGTATCCACAGAGCATTCTGTCTATGAGACCACAGTTGCTGTAGAAGGACTCCAAAAGTTATTAGCAGTCCAATTGCCTAGTAAAAAGAAAATCTAAATTTCTAAAAACATAGTGGGCACCCACACTTGGATATAAAGCATGACTAGTTCTTTCTAAAAACTTTTTAAAGGTTCACATTATTATTTTTATGTGTGTAGGGGGTGGTGCACATGGGTATAGGTGAGGCCAGAATTCATGAGATTCCCTTGGAGCTAGAGTTCCAGGTGGTCTGAGTTGTCCAGTGTGAGTGCTGAGACTCAAATGAGTTTCCTTTGCAAGAAGAGTATACACTCTTAACCACTAAGCCGTCTCTCTAGCCCATCACCTAGTTCTTAAGAAAAGAAATCAAGCTATATATGATGTTGAAAGAAAACCAAAGTACATGGCTAGATAGCAAAACTGAGCTATGAAATGTTACATATGGTGAGACGTAGCATCCGCTCAAGGTTTTATGTATCTATATGCATATGTCTGGATGCACATGCATTGAATTCAAGCAAGTAGTTGAATCACTTTTAATGACAGGACAAGGGTTGGAGTTAAAAGAGAAACGAGGGGGTTTTTGCCTCCTCTGCATTGTTTGGAATCTCAGAATGAAAATTTAATCATATATGAAGTACACAATTTTTAACTCCCCCAAAGGTAAACGTGACAATCTTGGCAGTTTATTTACATGTGTGTATAGCTTTGCACAGCTTGGTAAGAATTTGAATATATTCAACTTTATGAAAATCTCAAAAGTGTTGGATTAGAGATATACTTTATGAATGCCTGATGAGATGACATCACAAACTTCATCAAGAATCTTCTAATCTTCTAATCGGGCTCCTGTGGAGAGACAGCCTCTGTGTCAACAGAAAACTCCTCATTTGGCTGGTTTTCCAAAAACTCTGTGTAGGCTTTCCTGGGAACAAACTTGAAGGCACTCCATTTTTCGTCGTAACATCTAGGGAAGCGTCGGAACGTTGAGATGACCATGGCTTCCTTATGTACGTATGATGTTCTGTTATTTGAAAGGCCATCAAGATGTGACGGGATGAAGTCACAGGCCCAGAGATTGAAGTTCCTAGAAATGTGTTGCCTTCTCTCTGGTGAGGTCTTCTTGCGTCCCAAGCCCTAGGAAGGAGGGACAAGATTAGGGGAGATACGCACAAGGCCACATAGTTCTGAAGATTTCAATGAAATCAGCTAACAGCATGTATATAATTAAAGGCATACATAAGACGATTGTTATAAAAAGCCAACTTGTTGAGCATCAGAAGTCAACAACATCCTGGCAGGGCCTTATCTCTGTTCTCAGTGTTCCTTTGCCACGAAGGGAACTGGGCACGTGGCATCTTTTGGAGAAGTTATCTGAGGATATTCTAGCAAAATGAAAAAGAAAAAGGGAAAAAAACAATATAGGAAGGAACTGCAAGGAAAGAGGGTGGCAATATACGTCAAAACTCTTGCTGCACATGTGGCCATGAAATATATTGGAAATTTCAGAGGAAGGAACAAGAGGGAGCGAGCAGGAAGTGCTTAGACATGGAAAGGAAAAGGGAGGGAAAGGAAAGAGGACGAGAGGGATGAGGGGAGACTGGAGGGAAGTTGTAGGGTTTTAGTGAGACTGGAGCAATCAGGACCAGTGGCTGAGAAGCAGATGGAAATGGGGTTCATCCAAAGACAGAGAAGCCAGTCAAGGCCACCACCCTGCCAGCCCTAGGGAGGAAAGAACAGAGATAAGGCCCTTGGAAGGGGCTCTTTATCCTAGGGGAAGTCTTCGGGTGTTCAATTTGTATACACAGAGTAGTGCCTTGCTAGTGCACATTTTAAACATTTGTATTTGAAGGAAGCTATTAGTCAAAAGTCAGCAGAAGTGAGAATAAGCAAGTAAGTTCAATTGCCAGAGGACTGTGGGAAGAGAGGGGAAAAAAAGAGACAGCAAGACTATGATAGATAAGCACTAGAAGTGAGTGACAGGTGTAAGACCAAAACTTGTAACTGTCCTAATAATGTGAATGGCTTAAATTCTTACACAGAGAAACAGTGGCCTTTGGGTGTTGCTTTTCTTTTTTAATTAGCTGCCCCCTGCTTATAAAGGAAGACAAACCCAAAGCAGCATGACCAAAGTTCATGAAAACACAATGGGATATCTGTATCACTCGCCCTCCCAACAAGACTCCAGGACAGTTGTAGAAGAGACAGCAGAGAGTCAGAGGTCAGGGAGGACTGGAATGAAGCATACCCTGAACCTGGCAGCACTACTGCACTTAGGAATTCGCAGCTGTCGCGGTTGTCAGCATAAGACCTGGGCAAGATCATGCTAGTCAACAGGCCGGCATGGAGGAAGGAGGGACTCAGTAGCCCCCACCCCTCACTGAGAGATAAAGAGTCGATGGCTCCTGGGAGAGAGAGAGGGTCTGTTTTTCTAAGGGTATGGCCATGGTAGGTGAGGCCCAGGGGATACTGTCATAGCCATGAGAATACAGGACATGAAGTTGGAAAGGGGTGGGGAGCTGGGAGGTGGATCTGGAAGGAGTTAGGGGAGAGAATGGGGCAAATATGATCAAAATGCATCACATGTGTGTATGAAATGCTCAAAGAATTAGTAAAAAATAAAATTTTAATTCCTAAAGACGAAGGAACTACACTTTGTAAAACAGCACAGCAAGGCAGGAGTCACGGCTAAAAGAGACACATAGGCTGATGGATACTTGTAACAAGTCATTTTCTGCCCCTCCAGCCAGCTCCCAAATAATGGCATGGAGACTTCTTATTAATCGTAAAAGTTTGGCCTATAGCTTAGGCTTGTTCCTAACTAGTCCTTATAGCTTAACTTCACCAATTTATACTAATCTACGTTCTGTCATGTGGTGTTACTTCTCTTCCATCTTGCACCTCCTGTTTCCTCACTGTGTCTCCTGCAAATCTTGATTCCTCCTCCTCCTCCTTCTCTTCCTCTCTCTCTCCTGGAATTCTGCCTATATGTCCTGCCTAGCTATTGGCTTTCCAGCTTTTTATTACACACATCACAGCCATACATCTTCACACAGTGTGCAGAATCCCACAACAGAAACTCATAGTGGTATATGGCGAAGCCATCAAGATAAAAATAAAGCAATCATGAATTTTTATGCAACAAGACATGATACTAAACTATTTAAAGAAAAGCCAAAAAGTGTTGAATTTAGGAGGAACTCTTAGAAGCAGAAACTGACAGGCCAAGACAAAGAATAGGAAATATTTTATAACATAATTAACAGTCCTCAGCCAATAATTTTGCAGTTGAATGAGGAACTACATAATATTTTTAATCACTAATGAGACACTTTAAAATTAATCACATGCAAAAATAATCTCTACTACTTAAGAAGTCAAAATCACAGAGTGTCCTCCATCAAACCTATTGTAACACCAAAATCAGGTATCAGCAGCAAATATGTAACCTAATGAATTCTGGCCACGTTAGAAATGCAAGGAATCTTCCAAACAGCTCTGTTAAAGGAGAATTTAAAAAGTAAATAAAGAGTATTTGGAGGCAAATACTAATCAGACAAATTAGGTCTGATTAACACAGATTTTAATGATGCGTTTGCCTAAATGTTATTTGTTCATTTATTTGCTCATTCTGACTTCTGATATTTTCCTAGTAGTTACCTTTAAGTATAAATGTTTAAGAAGTGTATTAACAAGGCACTACCTTCTGGATATAAAATTGATCACCTGCAGATTTCTCCAAGAAAAAAAGCAACCCCTGCAGAGAGCTTTAACTCTGTTCAGATACTGGAACAACATTAGAATTATCAGTTAGGTCTGAATAATAATATCTTCTTGGTATAGCCAGAACTAGAGAATATTCATAGTTTTAATAATCTCATTAACAAAAATGACAAGTATTTGAATTCAACTGTCAACTGGAGAACATTTTAAAGACTAGAAAAGTACTGGTACTTTGATTGACATGATACCATTAAATTTGAAATGGACGAGATAAATTCCAGGCAAACACATCATTAAACTCTATGCAATAGGAAGCATGAGGCTTAAATAGACAGACTAGTAGTCAAGATAAAAATTCAAAAACCTCATTCTAAAGAAGTGCACCAAACCTAAGCAGTTTTGTGAACCAAATTATTTTAGTCAGGACTACCTGTGCAGTAGGCAAACCACCCTACTGAACTACTGGCGCTGTCCTAGGTCCTGTTCTACCAAATCACCATAAACTGAAGCTCCAAACACTTCTGGAAGACAGAGAAAGCTGGGAAACCTCTGGAATCTTCCTGGAGGCTCTCAGCACCCTCCTATGATGCATGGAAAGAAGGCTACTTGTGCCATTGACATGATACACACTCGGTGGATCTGCCCACTAGACCCTGATCAGGGTAAGGTGTTGAAAAGGGAAACAAGAAGCAAAATTTTATTTGTAATTTTACATAAATCTGGGTTGACTTTTAAAAAATATTAACTGTGGGGGGGGGCAGGGGACAACTTGTAAAACTTGGTTCTTTTCCGTCGTGTGGGTCCCATGGATCAAATTCAGGTCTCCAGGCTGGCAACAAGCACCCACTGAATCATCTCACCATCACTTACTTGACTTTTTTGATGAGCATATGCTATTGTGACAGTTTGGAAGGTATATTAGGTGGGGTTGGAGAGACAGCTTAGTAGTTAAGAGCACTTGTTGCTCTTGCAGAGGAACTAGGTTGGATTCCCAGCATCCACATGGTGGCTCACAACCATCTACAACTCCAGTTCCAGGGGATCTGAATCCTTCTTCTAACCTCCATGGGCACCAGGTAGGCACATGGTGATATGGTGCCCAGACATTCATGCAGGCAAAACACTCATACACAAACAGTAAAATAAAAATAAACTTTTTTATGAAGAAAACATTAAGACGCCACTTGGAAAGGACAGGGTGGAAATTCTGACTCTATTCAGTACTCTGTCAAAGGAAAGTGGGTTTCAGGTTAAGCTCCTCTGTTTACTTGGAACATGGTTGTGTGGAAGGAAAGGTTTCTCAGGGCATGATGTTTCATCTCAATGGTTCTCAGTTTGCTCATTGCTGTATCAAGGATATGAGTGATTAACCCATAGGAGTGCTACAAGATAGTGGGAAACACTGGTGTGTAGTAAAGGCTTGATGAATAAAGGGCGCTGCTAACAGCGCCTTTGTCAAGTGGCTTCTCAAGTTTGGGAAGTGTTCTTGAAGCTTGCCTAACACATTCTTCTGCCTGATACATGCTAACCTGTTGCGTCCTGTGTAGCAGCCACTGGCTACTAGTTACTGAGCATTTAAATGGGAGAAGTTTAAACTGAGATTAGTAACATGTGTATCAGATTTTTAAGGATTTAGTTTGAAAAGAAAAATGTAGAATAACTGGTTAATAATTTTTTCTGGGGCCAACGAGATTCCTCTGCAGGGAAGAGTTCTTTCCATTGAGACTACATGGTAGAAGGAGAAAAACAACTGCAAGTTGTCTTCTGACCTTCACACACACACACACACACGTGCTCTTGCTCACACACACACACTAATACACACACACACGCACACAGGGTATATGTAAAAATGTTTTAAAGCTTAAGAATTTATTAAAACAAATTTAATAGTAATTTTAATATTTAATTTTATATGAATTTCTCTACATGTTGAATTGATAATTCAGAGGAAATATTGGGTTGCATAAAATATGCAAATGCCTTTAGATTTAGGACCCAATAAACCCAATGGAAGCTGAAAATATTCTAAGTTCAAAGTACATCTGGAGTGGCCTTTGTGAGTTTAAAACAGAGCACACTAAGTTGAGAGAAAAAAAGTGGGCACAGGGATAGGAGAGGCGCTGGAGGGGAGGGCTTGGGCTAGATGAGATCAAAACACATTATATACGTGTATGGAATTCCCAAACAATAAAAAATATAATTTTTTTTATAAAGAAACAAGGTGCATCTGACCGTGTGACCTAGCTTGGCAATGCATTACACTGCAGAGAACTAAATTTGTCTAGCGGGGTCTTGTTGGGAACTGCGACCTAATGTCTATGACAGCGCCTCGAAAGAAGCAAAGATACAAAATACTTGATGCCTGGCAATGGCCCAAGAAAAGGGAAATTCTGAGTTTGAAGTTTTAGCGAATCTGTTACTTTCACAGTAACATAAAATTGAAACTTTTTAAGTAGAACGTCTGTTTTATCAATTTCCCCCGGGTTTTAAATGTCCCTGTCACTACTAGGAATTTGAAAATGACGCCTGCAGCTGGTATTACATCTCTACATCCAATGCTCTATTAAGCTGCTACCAAGTACTCTCAGACCTTAAGCTCTCCAGTGGCAGGGGACTTGGCACCCCTGGGATAACTCGAGGAATCGCAAAAGAGACAATTCCAAAGGCAGACACTTAGTAAGCTTGACCTGAGCGTGCATGGAGGCAGAAGGCTTGTGCGGGCTTGAAAAATTCCACCCAACTCTGAGAGCTTCAAGAGAGGGACTTTTGTTTTGCGACCTTTTGTGAGTCTTCTTGAAGACCCCTAGCTGTTTTTACCTAGTTCCAGTTTTAAGGAACACACGGCTTTCCGTAACCTGTGCACCTTAGAAATTAAGAGACCCATCATTGCTCCCCATTCTACCAGTTGCCTGCTGGCTGCACTAGCGATGGCCCCTGGGCCTCCCGCATGCTAGGCAAGAGCGCTCCCACTGAGCAATCGCGGAGGCCCTACCAGTTTGCAGAGAAGTACTCACATAGTCAAAATAGTATCCAGAGTTCTCAAAACTGTAGCGATTGTCATGCACAGAGAAGGGGAAACTTTTGTTTGCTGCTTGCTGGAGAAGAACGAGGAGAGAGATGAAAAGGTACATGTCAGAACTGCGGGATGCCCTCAGACTGGGGCACAGTGGTGGGGAAGGACAAGGGGTGGGACCAAGGATCCATCACCAGCATGGAGCGAACAGCACCGGAGGAGGGATGTGGGCACAGGCGTGGGGCTGCCAAACTCAACCCTATTACCAATCCTTGACACGGGAAAAAATCTCTTTCAAAACGTCTTTGGAGATAGAGATGCAAAAGTGCACAGATGCACAGAACCCAATGCTGACAAGGAGTTTTGACGGCACAGGAGCCAACCTCTTATCTGACTGATAAGGATGGCAGAAACCAAATCCTGGAAACCTAACCAGATCCTAAAAGCCCCTGAGGATGGGTTCCCAGAAGCTTGGAGCTTGAGTTGAGGCTCACAGTGGTGCCACTGATGTCACTATTAAAACCCTTCTGCTTCCTCCTTCACACTACTGAGGTGGGGCAGTTGCTCATGAACTGACCAGGGAGGCCGACCATGGCTGTCAGTGACTAAAGGTTCCTGTGGAGAATCCCGGCTCAATCGGCTAGAGCAGGAGGCAGCTCTAGCTGTAGAGCACTTGGGAGCATCATAGGGAAACTGGGTATGGCAAGGGCAAATGAGTTCATCGGCTGACCAAACTGCCGCCTCCTCAGAAAAGCCCCGGGATCCTGGAAGTGGGGCCTGCTTTTATCTTACCTTCTCTCGGATTTTGTATATCGGCGGTAGCTTCCTCTCCACCTGCTGAGACAAGTACGGACAGTGGATCTCCTTCAGGGTAGCACTCGTGGTGGATTCTGGTGTCTTCTGTACCAGTCCAATTTGAGGGAACTGGAAACACAACACGCAGCTTGATTAGAACCAGACACAGCTGAATCTGTGTGCAAAATGATAAAAGATGGTTTGGGCACTTCTGGTGTGCCGAGGGAATGGTAAAAAACCCGTGTAACTTTGAAGTATTCCTTCCAGACGAACATTTCAAGCCACCGGGGCCTCTTCTGATTCAAGGTCTCAGGGAACCTGGAAATGTTTCCACGCTCTGGCAAAGAGTGGCAAAAGGTAGCACAAGTGAAGGTACCGGACAACGACAGGACTGTGTGGTCTGACGTCCTCCCAGGCCTGGGAGCCCTGGCACTTGGAGCCTCATGTCCAGCCCATGTTCTCAGGACTGGGTCTGCTCTCAGCCCTAGAGGTTGCCAAGCATGCTAGACTATCTGGCCAACATGCAGATCTTCTGTCTGTTTCTATCTCTCTGTCACTGGGATTGCAACTGTGTGCCACTATTCCCAGCTCCATATGGAGGTTCTGGGGAGCAAACTCATGGTCTTACACTTTCAAGACAAGTGTTTTACCAACCAAGCCATCTTCCCAATTACTCTCTTCTCTTTTGAAGTATAAAGACATTGGCTAACCAGAATTCTCTCTCCATTCCTATGTTCAAATACAACTGTATGTTCAGGGGGCTTTTGATTGGCATCTGTGCAAGTGTGTGCTATGTGGGTAGGCTGGGAGATTGTGTTATAAATACTATCGATATTGTGGGTATTCACTCCGACTGTGAAGAAGCTAGAAGACACATAGGACTTGGAAGAGTGGAGAGAAAAAAGAAACAGACAGAGAGCTATTGTTGAGAAAAGAGGGCTGTAAGGGTCGGTTTTGTGTTTAGATAACATGGCGCTGATATGGCTATCTGGAGTGAATCCGCTACAATAGGATGACACTGGATATTGGGGGCTGTGAGTCTGCATATGATGAGTGATACTCAATGTCCTGGGCACCCCAAAAGTAAACGGTTACATCATATGTCATAAAACCAGGCCTGGCAGAGTGCCATTTTGTGTGGATTCTGCGCAAATGCGGCCTTGATGTCAAAGGCTTGAGTCTTTGACTTTTCCAAGCTGCCCATGTATTTTTGTCTGTAGGCTCATGTGTCACCTGCCTGTGGGTATCAGTGTGTGCCTGTATGCCTGTCTGGGACCCCCTACCTAGTATATAAAATAAGTATGTCGCATCAGTCTACAGTTTCCTAATTCTCTTCCACCTCCCAGGCTCCTGGGACCCTCCTCCTTTCCTGGCAATGGAGTTTGAACCTCACAGATGTATAACCCAGCACCACCGATGTGAATATATAACCTGTGCATGCAAAATAACAGGTAACTTAGAACACAGTATAACAAGAGAGCTACCACCAAGTATGTCCCAGTGGTTGCCTGTGGGCTGAGAAGAACGAGACCGTTGACATGAAACCACCAGGGAAGCCCACTGGGTGTACATATGCAGACCCAGCCCCCCAACCCTCGTGACATAGGAAACTGCCTATGGGGCACCGATGAATTTGCTCCTGGAGAGACTTGTAGTACATAAGCTTGACTTAAAAAAAAACCCTCAAGGCTGGAGAGATGGCTCAGAGGTTAAGAGCATTCATTCCAAAGCCTGCTCTTCCAAAGGTCCTGAGTTCAATTCCCAGCAACCACATGGTGGCTCACAACCATCTGTAATGGGGTCTGGTGCCCTCTTCTGGCCTGCAGGCATACATGGAAGGAATGCTGTATACATAATAAATAAATAAATATTTAAAAAAAACCCTCAGTAGAGGAAAAGCATAGGGAAACAACCAAGTCTGGGGGTACAAGACTGTAACCCACTACATAAGAGGTTGAGACAGGAAGATTGTAAGTTCAAGGCCATCCTGGGTAATTTGGTGAGAGTCTGCATCAAAACAAAAAGTGAAAAAGAAAGACAGGGCTATACCTCAGTGGTAGAGTACTTTGCTTAGTGTGGGTTCAATTCTCAGAACCACAAAACAAGTAGAGGAGAAAACATTCTCCCCAAATCCTCACCACCGCCATTTTCCCCTTAGCACTTTGTACGGTTCTACATATGAGTAAACTGCATGCATTGTATCATATGGATATGCAAAAATTAGAATGTTTCATAATTCTAGAAATCACATGTGGCCATGTGGTATAACTGATGTCACTCCTAAACAATAAATGCTTTTTTTTTTTTGGTCTTTCAAGACAGAAGATAGGGTTTCTCTGTGTAGTCCTGGCTATCCTGGTACTTGCTCTGTAGACCAGGCTGGCCTTGAACTCACAGAGATCCACCTGCCTCTACCTCCCAAGTACTGGGATTATAGGTGTGTGCCACCACCACTCGGCTTTTCAATGCCTTTTTATTTATCACAAACTTTTTGTTGCCCTCCCCTTCTCCACTTGCTGCCTGCACCACCACCCCAGATAACAACATTGACTGAGCCCTCGTGTGTCACATGTGAAAAGGACCAATACTGCTTTACAGAAAGAGGCCATGCTGTCCATGGCGTGCACCTTGCTTTTCTCATTAATCACATACATTAGAAAGTTCTCGACAGCTTACATATATTGCTAACTAGGTCTGTATTAAACTTCAAAAGCAGTTTCAAACAATTATTGTTCTTGTGTGTGCATGTTCATGTTGTGGCTAGAGGTTGACCTCAGCAGTTCTTCAGGAACTGTCTACCTTGTTTTTTGAGTTAGAATCTCTCACCTGCCGAGTAAGGAGAGGCTAGCTGCCCAGTAAGCCTCAGAAATCTGCCCGTCTCCACCTCCCCAGCACTTGGCTACACACAGGCGCTACTGTAACCATTTGTTTCTAGGGGGCCAGGGAAATAAACTTGGACCCTCATGCTTACAAGGCAAACACCTTGCTGACTGAGAGATCTCCAAGGCCCTAAACGATGTTGATTGTTTACTTATTCTTACTGCATGCATGTGTGTGCATGTTGTGTGCATGTAAAGTGCACATATGTGGAAGTCAGAGAACAGCTCTTGTGAAGTTGGTTCTCTTCTACCTTGCCAGGATTCCAGGGATTGAACCCAGGTCGTCAGCTTGCGTGCTAAGTGCCTTTACCTGCTCATCTCTAGATTGTCGCTTTTTTTTAATTAAATTTTTAAGATTTATTTTGCATTTCAACCACAGTTTCCCCTCCCTCCTCTCCTCCAATTCCCTTCCCCCTTCCTTTCTACACCACCCTCATCCACTCCTTAGAAAGGGTAAGGCTTCCCACAGGAATCAACAAAGCATGGCATATCAAATTGAGGCAGGACCAAGCTCCTCCACCCTGCATCAAGTCTGAGCGAGGTATCCCACAGTAGGGAATAGGTTCCAAAAAGTCAGCTCATGTGTCAGGAAAGATCCTGGTCTCACTGCTAGGGGCACCACAAACAGACCAAGCTACACAAATGTTACCCACAGGCAGAGGACCTAGGTCAGTCCCATACAGGCTCCCCAGCGGTCGGTCTAGAGTCTGTGAGTTCTCATGAGGTTGGGTCAACTTCTGTGGATTTCTCCATCATGATTTTGATACACACACACCCTCACCCTTCTCCCTCTCTTCAACTGAGATCGGCCCAGTGCTTAGCTGTGGATCTCTGCATCTGCTTCCATAGGTTACTGGATGGAGATTCTATGGTGACAATTAGGGTGGTCATCAATCTGATTACAGGGCAAGGTCAGTACAGGCACCCTCTCCACTATCACTAGGAGTCTTAGCTGGGGTCATCCTCGTAGATTCCTGGGAGTGTCCCTAGCATCAAGTTTTTCCCTAAGCCCATACTGCCCCCCTCTATCAAGATATCTCTTTTGTTACTCTCCCTCTCCACCCCCCCACTCGACCATCTGTTCCCTCATGTTGCCATCCCCCATCTCATCCCCAGTAACCTCCCCCCCCCCAACAATCACTTTTAAAGATCAATATAAATAGTGCAAGCAGGCTCCAGGTGGAGCCTCTCTCTGTTTTCCCTCCATCCCACTAAGTTGCATCCCTCTCGGAAAAGCCCTGAGCCCCAGGCTGGTGGGGAGGCTGCTTTGACAGCAGGGACGATGGTTCACATCAGCTGACAACTGGCTTGAGTTCATTTATATTCTGCCAGTCTATGGACTAAATCACTGTTAAAATATGGCTCTGGCATTTTAATTTCACTCTTTTAAAATATATATTTAATGGCTATAACACGATCGCGGTGGAATAAACCCTTCTGTTGGATAGCGTAACTGTGAAATACAGCGTTTTAAACTAGTTGGTGGTGAAATTTTCTCGGCCTTCCGTCAGTCAGTGACTGAAATATTAAATAGGGAAATGAAAGTAAGTAGGAGGGAAAGAAAGCCTTTTCCTGCCCAGCAACAGCCAGAGTACAAGCAGCAAGGTCAACTGCAAAATGACTGTCACCTCTAATGGGACAATTACTGTCCTCGCAGATGGGCTGCGGCTGACTCGCAGCCAACGGTTTCTTTAATTTCCCCCACTCGCCTAAGGTTCCTTCCGGAAACTTCACCATCAGCGCTATTCTTTTCACGCTCTTAGGTGCTGACAGCAGGGAGGACTTTTGCCAAAGGCTCGAGGTAAGCTGAAGATGTGGACGGACAGACAGCGCCTCTCCTCCGAACTCCTCCTTACCGGGCTGCCCTGCGGGACTTGTGGCTGGGGGTGGCATGAAGTGTTGACCTACCATGTGCGGATTCTCACTTCATCTCATAACGGAACCTGACTTCCCTTGGAATGTCAATGCACTTGATTTAAACAACGTACTTGGTTTAAACAAACAAACTTCCCATACTCCCTTGAAGCTGTATTGGCTATGTGAACCCACGAGCCTGCAAGGTTGTTTTCCTGAAAAGCAGATACCTTATTTCTTGTGGTCCCGTGATCTTGTTTTCCTGCCTGGAATGTAGACTCCCTACTACATGGAGAGGACTCCGCTTGATGATGAAAATGGCTGAACAGAAGGCTGGAAAGATCCCACGGCTCTGAAAACTCCCTGGAGCAGAGTTCCCACCTCTCATCTGCCTGCTTCTACACTTTGCTGCTATTTTTTAAGAAGAGATTTATTTTTTATTGAGTTATACATTTTTCTTCATTCCCCTCCCTTCCCTCCCTCTTCCCCTCTAACCTCCGTGATCCCAATTTACTCCCAATTTACTCCAGAGATCATGTTTTTTTCTCCTTCCTATGTAGAACCATGTATGTCTCTTTTACGTTAGGGTCCTCTTTGTTGTCTAGGTTTTCTGGGGTTTTCGACAGTAGGCTGGCTGTTTTGTTTTGTTTTTTCTTTATGCCTAAAAGCAACTTATGAGTGTTTACTTATTATATTTGTCTTTCTGGGTCTGGGTTACCTCACTCAATATGTTTTTTCTAGATCCATCTATTTGCCTACAAATTTCAAGATGTCATTATTTTTTTTACCACTGTGTCGTACTACAACGTGTAAATGTACCACATTTTCTTTATCCATTCTTCAGTTGAGGGGTATCTAAGTTGTTTCAAGGTTCTGACTATTACAAATAATGCTGGTATGAACATAGCCAAAACAATCCTGTACAATAAAGGAACTTCTGGAGGCATCACAACCCCTGACTTCAAACTCTACTATATAGCTACAATAATGAAAATAGCCTGGTATTGACATAAAAACAGACAGGAGGACCAATGGAATCAAACCAAAGACCCTGGTATTAATCCACACACCTATGAACACCTGATTTTTGACAAAGAGGCTAAAAATATAAAATGAAAAAACATATTAAACATATGTTTGAATATATTGAAAGAATATTCAACAAATGGTACTGGCATAACTGGTTATCAACATGTAAAATAAATCCATATCACCATGCACAAAACACAAGCCTAAATGGATCAAAAACCTCAACACAAAACCAATCACAGTAAACCTCATAAAAGAAAAAGTAGAACATACACTTGAACGCATTGGCACAGAGACCACTTCCTAAATATAACCTCAGTAGCACAGACACTGAGAGAAACAATTAATAAATGGGACCTCCTGAAACTGAAAAGCTTCTGTAAAGCAAAGGACATGGTCAACAAGACAAAACGGCAGCCTACAGAATGGGAAAAAATCTTCACCAACCCCACATCAGACAGAGGACTGATCTCCAAAATATACAAAGAACTCAAAAACTTGACATTAAAAAAAACTCCAAATAATCCAATTTAAAAATGGGGTACAGACCTACACAGAGAACTCTCAACAGATGAACCTAAAATGGTTGAAAGATGCTTAAGAAAATGCACAGCATCCTTAGCCATCAGGGAAATGCAAATCAAAACAACTCTGAGATTCCATCTTACACCTGTGAGAATGGCCAAGATCAAAAACACTGACGACAGCTTATGCTGGAGAGGATGTGAGGTAAAGGGAACACTCCTGCATTGCTGGTGGGAGTGCAAACTGGTACAGCTGCTTTGGATTTCGGTATGGCGATTTCTCAGAAAATTAGGACACAGTCTACCTCAGGACCAAGCAATACCACTTTTGGGTATATACCCAAAAGATGCGCACTCATGCCACAACGACATGTACCCAACTTTGCTGTTATCTAACAAGGAACACAAATCTGTGTCTGATTAAGATACTCTCGGTCACACCCCCACCATGCTGGTGACCAGAGCCCAAACCTAGGGCCTTGCACATGCTAATATATGACACAGGCTATATATTATATATAGATGAGCTACATATCCATTCTCGTAGTCAGTCAAACGCAATCCTAACTGACATTTAGATGACAGAAAAGGTAGCCATTTAATCCGAGAAACGTTTTTCTCACCATGGGCCATTATGACAATGGGGCTGACACAGGCAGAGGCGGGCAAGTCTCTGTGAGTTTGAAGCAGCCTGGACCACATAGTGAGTTCCAGGCCAGTCAGGGCTACACAGTAAAACCCTGTCTCAAAAAAATAAATAACTAAACTAGAATAGAACAAAATTAAAATGTGGCTGATACTATTTCCCGTTTGACTTTGGCTCCCAAAGAACCCAGATTAAGTTTTTTTTTCTCAGTCTCAGCCTCTTATTCTAACATATATTTATACTAGAATTTAATTTTATTTTAGTTAAGATGTTTCTGCTTTATTTTATATACCCCACATATTACTTTTGATCTTAATGGAATAAAGGAAATTTTACAGTGTGTGTGCTGGTGTGTGAATGTGTGTGTGTGTGTGTGTGTGTGAATACATGAATATGAGATACAGATACGCTACAGTTAGGAAGTGTTGATTGACTATTCTGCCTACCTCTGCCCTTCTGAATGAATTAGTCTCACGGCAGCGCTCTAATTTTGGTATATTTCATTTTACATTTTAAAAAGCCAAGATTAGACAAAAACTTGTTTGCCTTCGTCTAAGGTGGTGCTGAAGAGAGTGTGATCAGTGTTGTAAATTTTAAAGACCCAAATTTGCCAACATCTTTTCCCTTTATCTTTTTCTTTTAAACAAACAAAAACTTCATTTGGGAGCTAGGGATGACTGATTAAAGAGCTTGGCTCTTGCTGTGCAGGCTTGAGGACCAGATTCCTAACACCTACATGAAAGCCAGATGGGAGCAGGAGCTCACCTGTCACCCTGCACTCAAGAGGCAGACAGGGAATCTCCAGAGCAAGATGACTGTTCCGACTAACCCAATACACCAGCTACAGATTCAAGTGAGAGATTCTGCCTCAGTCTACAAGGGGGAGAGCTGTTTAGGGGGATGCTTGACATCAGCCTTGGGCCCCCCACAAACACGTGTGCATAGACACATGCCCACACATGTGAACACACTCATACACTACTCACATACACACGAAAAAAAAGAACTTCACAAATCTCCCCCATGTTATTGACTAAGTGCTTTGAACACCCGTCTTTTCTCAGACTCTGCCTCTGGTTGTGAAAGTGGAAGAGGACACAGGAATTCCCCTTTTCTGGACAAGTTGAGGAAGCTGGACCTGGGAAACTGAGAAGGCATGGAAGATACATATTAAAGAGTGGGTGAAAAGTCCTTGGGCCACAAAGAAAAGACCTCACACTGGAGACAGTTGCAAATGTTTCTAGAAGACCCTAGAACAACAGCACGCCTAAACTGGGCTGTCTGCGATGTCTTGCCAGGATAGCTCGAGTCCGGACATTCCAGGTGTGATCAAGGACACACTCCTAGGCTCTGTCCATTTCATCGTCTGGTGATGGAAATCGGACAGGACTTGGGAGTTTAAGAATTCTTCATTCAATAAATACTGAGTGTGCCTTCTGCACCGGATGGAATGCCATTGAGGAAAAGTGACAAAGGCCCCATGGAGTTTATACTCTAGGAGGAAGAGACAGCTTACAATGTAGTGCTAGAGAAGACAGGTGTTCGGAAACGGGAACGCCTGCTCAGGTGACTGTTGCTGCCGGACGAGCACTCTCAAGAGCCCACACTGTGCCAAGCATTTCCTTTCTTTCCCCTTTCTTCCTCTTTCCTTCCCCTTTTCTTCCTTCCTCCTTCTTGCTTTTCCTCCTTCCTTCTCTCCTCCTTTTCTTTCCTCCTTTCCATTCTTCATTCTCCTTTCTTCCTTCTTTCGTCATTCCCACATCCTTCCCTCCCTTCTGTTTCCCCACGCCTCTCTTCTCTCTCCGTGTCCTTCCTCTGTCTTTTTTAGTTTCATTTTCTGAAACTCTGTCTTATTAAGCAACCTAGGATGCCTTAGAAGCTCCCAATCCTCCTGCTTCAGCTTCCCAAGTATTAAGATTACAGATTTGGGCAGCCTCCCCCAGATTGGCGTGCCTTCATTCAGTTCTCAAAAGAATGCTGAGCTTCCCATTTGACAGGTAGAGAAACCATGGCCAAAGGAAGGAACCCGTCAAAGGCCATGCTCCCATAGGTAGTAGAAGGAAATCTGATCAGTTCTGTGCCCTCAATGACAGCCACATTCCATGAGGAAGCTTCCAGGGAGGCCATCTTCCTTACCCATCTTCCAACCTTGTCCAAAGGCGGGTTGAACCGCCTCCCTTTGGTCATTCTCTCCAAAGAGCTGAATGTACTGAGGTTGGCTTCCTCACCTCTCCATGGCCTCACAAGCTTGACACATCTGGAAAGCCCTCCACCCCATCCCTGATCTTCTCAGTTGCTGCCCAGTCAGGGAGGTGGCAGAGAATGCCCACTGCTTGTCATAGAAAGGGAGCTCATGTCACAATGGGCAGAGGCTTCTAAGCCCCGAAGGAGGGTTCTTACCACTTGTTCCTTGTGTCAGGTTCCCTAAGCACATCCAGAGTTCCAATCACCTGAGCCCGAGCCCGGCTGAAAAATTCCCAGAAAGCAGCCAGAGAGGTGAGGACAAGACAATGCTGGGAACATGGCAAGCATTTTGCACCTTCCTGGAACCAATATTTTCATTAATGTCCTCATAGCAACCATCTGTTTCAATCTCTTAGTTTTCAGAAAACCGAGACCTGGGCTGCAGTTGACCTTGTTCACATCAGCAATGCTGCTGTACCAGAACCAAAGAAGCCAGTATCTCCTGCCATGGTGTTCTCTGTTTCCCAGGTCAGACCTAATCATGGCACACACACTCCTAGGCTCACTCACCTGCCTGGCACGGCATAGAAGCCACAGGGAGATAACATTTGTACACAACTATGTACCAGATGCTATTCTGGAATAAACTCTTTTCTGTGTTTTTACTTTATTTATTTTCCATGGGGGTCATGTTATCAATGATAGGGCACTAGAAGGCAAAGCGAGGTCATGGGTCCCCTGTAGAAACCATGAACACCCCCAAGGACTGCTACCACTCTTCCGCTGCCAAAGGCTGCTCCTGACATCTTTCCCTAGGCCAGGACACAGAACTGCCTCTCTCCCTCTCTGTGCTGTGCTTTCTGCTTTTCTATCTCCTTTTGTTGGATGCCACCCAGCCAATTCTCTTGACGATTCCATGTGACGATGAGAGTGAACATCTTCAGGAGGAT